AGGCAGCGAGTAACTTCATCTCCGTGCACAGCTGGTGGTCGAGCATATAATAATAAATTAGGTGTTTGAACCTCAGAGCTGAAAGCCAAGCTGTGCAACCCCGACATCAAAATCACAACGTCACGCAAAACAACACAAGAGAACAATACACTTTCATCGGCTTCTATAATAATAAATTAGGTGTTTTTATTCTATCATGCCGAGAAGTACAAGCACGAAGAATCACGCACATACATAGAAACAATAATCGTTCAAAACGACCAAGTATAACCAAAGATACGGCCATTTTAAACACAAGACACCAAAAAAAAGGCAGTCACACATCACAAGTACAAGCCATCACAGCACAACACAAAGAACACCACGGCACGCTCACATACAACAAGAGACAGCGTCGGGTCGAAAAGACAACCGACCACAGAAGAAAAAGACATCATACAAAGGACTTTACACAAAAATTTCAGCAAAAATACCACACAAATACAGTCAAAATCAAAGCAAAATTAAAAAAAATACAAGTCAAGCCATAAAAAGACATAACAACAACGAGAAACACCTAGGGAGCGACAGGTGCACACAGGGATCCCCACAGAGGGACCCCCGAGGCGGTGCCTACCTACGACGAGCGCAGGCAGACACCGCCAAAGTGGCGCTGGATGTGGTCAGCGTTCATCTGATGGACCAGCGCCGCAAAGCGACCCTTCCACCGGGGAACAAAGGCCTCATCCAGCCCCGGCTGGTACACACCACGGGCCTCGGCGCAGCGGGCAAGCTGACCAAGCAGATCCACAAAGGAGGAGGCGAACCCACCGGTTGTCGTCATCGCCGCAGGGACGATCAGAGTTTTTCCATGGTTGAAACCGGTGTAGTAGTCGCGCTTCTCCTTTTCGGCTCGGCGAAGGGCAGCGCCCACCTTGATGCAGGCTTGCGAGGTGGTCAGGGGTTGGGCTGTGCGCACAGTCACGTCAATGCCAGGTCGGGCAGAGCTGGGCCCAAGGCACCGCCGGGAAAGGGGTTGCGGCAGTGCAGGTCGATGCGGCAGCTCTGACCGTTGGCGTTGTAGCCAGACTTTTCCACCCAGACATGGGAGAGGGTGGCGTACCTGAGCAGGCGGCCCATCTCGTCGCGAAGGGCGTTGTGACGCTTGATGGGACGGCAGGTCAACAGGTGCTCGCGGGTCAGTCGCGGCTGAGGTGTCTTGCTGCTGCAGAGCGGGCACTTGTCCGTCGGCTTGACGTTGATGAGTTCATGGAGGCCAAAACCCATCATGGACACGACCGCAATGGCAAAGGTCGTGTCGCTCAAGCGACGCAACTTGTCTCGACCCCGCATGGTCAAGACAGTGCTGACGCCCCACTCGCGGGAGGCCAGATATGCCTGCTGCAGGTCCAGCGCGCACTTGGCCATCAGGTCGTCCAGTGCGGCCTTGGAGCGGAGGGCAATGATCTCCGCTGGTCGCTGGGTCGCCGCGTCCTTGACCGTGGCCATCTGGAAGCCAGCTCGCTGCACGTGGGCCTCAAAGTCGGCAGCCCTCGATGCATCCTCCAAAAGTCGATCGTAGACCCGAGGGTAGCGAGTGGCCAGCTTGGCCATGTTGCAGACATAAGCCACCGGACCGCGCTCAACCAAGTCGTGCAGGCCAAAGCCCCCGGTGTTGGCCCGCGTGAAGAGGCGAGCCTCAAGGAGCTGTTCCAGCGTAACGTCATGACCTTCAGCTCCAGCCGGTGCAGACAGGTTTACCTTGGCAAAAAAGGCTTTGACAAAGGTGTCCTTGCAAGCACGGTTCAAGAGCTCGGACAAGCCCGACGTGAGACTTGGGGGCAGCGTGTAGAGGTGGTTGATGAGGCTAGGCACGTACTGCATGGCCGTGAGGAGGGCCTGAAGCGAGACACCGGTCGTCAGCATGTCATTGAGCTTGCCAGAGATGTGCTTTGCCTTGTCGTTCAGCTGCTTCTTCATCCACTCGCGACGGCCAATCGGCGTTCCCAAGACCGTCATGCCCGTGTTGGCCGTCTCGCGCACGGCATCTGGCAATACAGACTTGATAGCAGTGATGGAAGCCGAATGGTGGCGAGGCATGTAGAA